AGTGAAGAAAGAAGACCAGCTAGACCGGCCCTGGAACTCCCTGGGATCGCTGTCCTTTTAAGGGCCGACCAGGCAAGCCAGCGGCGTGGCCCCCAGAGCCCAGAACCGACGCTCTTCTAAGAGCGGGGTCTGGGTGTTCGGGGTGCCGTAACCTAGGTGTAAGCTAGCTGTGAGCTAGGCTGTTGTGTTCCGTAGCTAGACGGGTGAAGGGGCCGATACCCCTTCAGTTACTGTAAGCTTCCGAGTTACGTGCTGGTGTTAATAAATAAGCGTGTGCCTCCAACTACGTGTCAAGTTTCCCTGGAACCATACTACATCTGGTGTCAGGAGTGGTTCTACAAGGATGGAGACGCGAAGCACAGCTCGTACCAGAGAGACGGAGGCGGAGGAAACCACGGCCGACTTCGAGCCAGAGATGGCTGCGGGCGGACCCGAGCAGCAGGAGCCAAATCCACCTACACCGCAGCGTCAGGACGAGTGGGGACCGTCGCCTGAAGGACTGCGGCTGGCACACTCTCGACTGGCCGAATTGCTGTATGCTGCAGCCGCGACGCTGGAAAAAATTACCCGGCTGGGTGCGGGTGGAGCTGCGCGGGCCGATGGCGGCCGGCATAAGATGCCGCTTCCCGCCATTTCCAAGGATGCTGAGTTTGAAGTTCCCGCCATAAGTACAGTGCAGGCTGACGGCCAGGCGAGGCTACGTCACGTGGCCGATACTCACCAACCACAAGCCACATCGGCAGCGGCAGACAGCGAAACGTCACCACAGCAACCGCCGTTGCCACGCGACCAGCCCGCCAAAGCTGCACGGAGTGACGGAGAGCGTTTTTCGCCTACGGACGCTGCGCTGCAACAGCGACTGCCACCTTTCAAGGAATTCGTGGGAGGAGAAGGCGACTGGGGTGGCTTCCAGAGGCGCTTCCTCGCCCATCAAGAGATGGCGAAATGGACCGACGACGAGGCGTTGCGTGCGCTGCTGGCGATGCTTGACAACGATGCCCTCGCCACTCTCACCTCGGCACCAAGGGCGAAGCGCGCCACGCTGCAAATGGCGCTGCAACTCCTCGCCGCGGTCTATGGACCACCCTCGGACTGTCGTCAGCTGTTTTACGATCGCCAGCAGGGCTCCAAGGAGTCACCCCTGGCGTACCGCACGGCTCTCCTAGCCCTGGCGAAAACGGCTTTTCCACGGATGGACGAGGATGGGGTGGACACCATGGTCACGGAGAAGCTGCTGATGCTGGCCGATGATTTGGACATCGTCGTCTTGGCTGAAGACGATGCGGAAATGTGTTCGTTGAGGGTCGCCCGGCACATTCATGCCAACCTGCTGGCCCAACGTCGGAAGGCCAGCAAAGCGACGGCCAGCCATACCGTGGCTGCGTCTGCCCTCCCAGCGGAAGACATCTGCGCTGTGGATCGCCCGACGGAGTGGAGGTCCGGAGTACGGCCAGCTCGGGACGGACCGAGCCGCCGGGATCAGCCCAAGTCATCAGCAGCACTCACGCGCTGCTACAACTGTGGCCTCCGGGGCCATGTGGCCTCGGGATGCTGGGCTCCTCGGCAGCGTGGTGCGACACCTCGCCAGGACGTCGCGCCTCGACCCAAGTCTCCCCAGCAAAATTCGGCGAGTCGTGGCACCCCACATGACTGGCCCACACACACACCTGCCACTCACTCACACACCGCAACTAACGGGGGTCAGAAATTATCCATTGTCACGCCAAAACGTACCTCCAGGGGGTGTGCGGTCCAACCGACCCAGTGGTCCGAGTTGGCTCATCGTGTTGTTGCCGCGTCGTCGGGGTCGTCGGTTGTTGTGGGATAAATTGATGGGGTCGAGGTACGGGTCTTGATTGATACGGGAGCATCGGCGACTATTGTGTCCGATTTGATTTACAACATTCTCCCCATTCAAAGTCGTCCCTTGCTCCCTGTTGATGTCCCATGTTATGCTGCTAATGGGGGTTCGTTGGGCATTATCGGACAGATCCGCGCGCAAATTTGTATTGGGGACATTAAATTATCCGGCCCGATATTGGTCTCCTCCTCGCTGGCGGTTCCGTGCCTGTTGGGGACGGATTTCTTGGCCAAAATGCCCATTCGTATAATAATCGACCAAGGATGCATTGAACTCCCGTCGGGGCGACGTATGGCCTTTTTGTCATCACCCGCTACCACTGTCCATGCGGCGTTTGCAACGGTACCGGCGCTGGTCGCGAGGACGGTACGCATACCGCCGGGAGCTCAAATGCTCGTACCTCTTAGGCTGCGCCGGCCGTTTGCGGAGGGCGTCGGGGATCGGGGGGTTCTATTGGGACCATCGAGGGCCGGGGTCAACGGACCCAACTTGGTAGCGGTTTGATTATCCTTCAGGATTTCGATTTTGCGACTACCTATCGTAAGGGCACTCGCCACACCAACGCGGACGCTCTGTCCCGGTTACCACCCACCTCTGAGTGCGCTTGCCTCCTTCTGGGTTCGGGGCGTTGCAGACCTCCGAATGTCAGCTCTAATTCGGTTTTAGCAGCCGCCGCCGATGCGCCTTCCGTTGCCGGTCCTATCGAGCAAGAAGGGAGGGATTCCTTGCTGGGGTTGTCGGTTGCGGAGTGGGGGCGCCTCCAAATGGAGGACACCTCCCTCCTCGCTTTGCTCCGTCGCATCGGGGGAATTGTGCGGGGGGGTGAAAATGTCGACTCCTGGGGGTTGGTCCAGGGCCTTCTCATGCACTGGGACGGCAAATCCCGTCGACACCGGCTGGTGGTGCCTTCTGCGTTGCGGGAAAGGGTCGTGTGGGCTGCGCACGAGTGACTCCTCCACTTAGGGACCCACAAAACCCTTGCCACACTCCAACTAGATTTTTCATGGCCGAGCATGGCAAGGGATGTGGAGGACCTGTTGGGGTCATCACCCAGTGCGCGCAAAGGAAGCCACCAGCCAAGGGGTCTAACCCACCCTTACAGTCCATAAAAGTTTCCCGAGTTAACGAGCTCGTCGCACTAGATATTCTGGGCCCATTCCCCGCTACGCCTAGGGGGAATAGATACCTGTTAACCGGGGTAGAATATTTTACGAGATGGCCTATGGCCTGGGTCCTCGCCAATCAGTCAGCAGCAGCCATCGTGGAGGCCTTTGTCCAGGGCTATGTCCTCGACAAAGGTGCTCCGGAGCGGCTGCTGACCGATCAGGGTAAACATTTTTCGGGGAAGCTTCTCCACGAGGTGTGCGAGCTCCTGGGAACGAAAAAGATTCGTACCTCCCCATATCATCCGCAAACGGACGGAATGGTGGAGCGGCTGCATCGGACCATCACGTCCATGCTGTCCCAGCAGGTGTCTGAATCCCAGACCGATTGGGACCTTCATATCCCGGGGGTTTTGGCAGCATACAGGATGGCACCCCATGCGGCGACCGGGTTTTCGCCCTTTTTCCTAATGTATGGCCACGAGCCTAACCCACCTGTTCCGACTCAGCTGCGGATCTCCACGCCGCATAGTAAATCCAAATTGGCCGAACATGTGAAATTCAACGTCGCTAAATTGACAGAGGCGCGGGAGGCGGCCATGCAGAACTCTGAACTCCGCCAGAAGGCAAATGAGAGGCTCAGGCTGGCTCGGGTGCACGTGCTTCAGTGGAAGCCGGGTGACCAGGCGTGGTTGCACTGTCCCCAAGTCCCGCTAGCAACCTCGTCTAAACTGGTGCGGCCGTGGCGGGGGCCCGTGGAGGTGGTGCAGGTTTTGCGCCCACAATGTGTGCGTATCCGATGGGGGAAACGTCGGTGGTTTGTGCACCCCTCCAGGTTAAAACCGTTCGTTGCACCCCATGTTCCTACTTCACACACGCGTGGCCAATCATGTGAGGGGTCCACCGACTCCCGGAGTACGACTTCTCTGCTGTCATCTGACTTAACACCGTCTGTTCCACCTCCAGGCGCACCAGGAGTGACACGCTCACGACCGCCAACCCCTCCCGGGGGGGTCGGGGGTCGCTCTGCAGCGGAGCCGGACACCCTCACACCCGGACTGCTAACAACCGCCACTGGCCAAACCAGAGGGGTCCCTTGTGACGGCCCCGCTGCAAGGACGCGCGCCAGAACACGTAGACTTTTGTGAGGCCGGCCGCCAACGCGACCCTTGCGAGCGACCGCCCTCGGTTCTTGTATATATGTTGTTTTTACGGGATGGGGTATTTATTCGGTCGGGGTGCGTCGTGTTGGTTTGTTCTTCTTGTTGTTGTTGTTGTTAAAGATTTGTGAGGCACACACGGGTTCAAAGGGGGGGATGCATCTTTATTGCTATTTTGTTGCAGCCGGGACGGCTGCGAGCTGTACAGGTGGGGGTGATGTAGAGCCGTTGTAGCCGTTGTAGACGGCCTGATTTAGACTTGCCGCGGGTGGCAAACAAACACAATGGGCGTGGCTACGTCGGTACGCGGAGCAGGTGCTCGCAGCGACATCCTCGCCGTACGCTGGGATCCCCCACAGCCCCTCCCCTCGGGGGGAGATGGCTATTTAAGGTGGTGAGCCGAAGGGCTCTGGGTCTAGTGTGTTAAGCTGTAACCAGTGAAGAAAGAAGACCAGCTAGACTGGCCCTGGAACTCCCTGGGATCGCTGTCCTTTTAAGGACCGACCAGGCAAGCCAGCGGCGTGGCCCCCAGAGCCCAGAACCGACGCTCTTCTAAGAGCGGGGTCTGGGTATTCGGGGTGCCGTAACCTAGGTGTAAGCTAGCTGTGAGCTAGGCTGTTGTGTTCCGTAGCTAGACGGGTGAAGGGGCCGATACCCCTTCAGTTACTGTAAGCTTCCGAGTTACGTGCTGGTGTTAATAAATAAGCGTGTGCCTCCAACTATGTGTCAAGTCTCCCTGGAACCATACTACACATACATCCCTCGTGCGCACACAACGTGCAACCCCTAACACAACTCTATAGTGACCAGTGACCGACCCCTAACTACAAGACAATCATAAGCAGTGACCATGAACAAGAACAAGGGAATGGGGAATTAACTAAAAAACGTCGCGAACGGGTATGTGCAGCAGGCCTGTCCCCGTGGGTAGAGACGGGTCAGCTTAAGTGTGATGAGTGGTCCGATGAGGGAGTCCACAATGCTCCGTCCGTGGTCTTTAGGTCCTCCGGCCCTGCAGGCGATACAGAACATTCCTCCTCACGGCCTATTAATTTAGGCGTGGTGGTCGGCGTACCAGACGCATCAGACACCGGCCGGCAGGGATGTGGGGATGAATCGATTGGACTGGACGTATGTTTTTAACCATGAAGGATGCACAAATCAGCGCCGCCGGCCCAAACGGATATGCACACACTGTGGTCGCCGAACCTCAATGACCTCGACGGGCCCGTGCCACGGATGATACAGTTTCGTGGACGTGCCCACAGGTAACTGGGGGCAATGTCGCCAAGCCTTGTCCCCCACTTGCCACAGTATTCCGGGCCCTTTATAACCCTTCAGCCGCTTGTTACAGGCCTGTCTGCGGGCCAAGTTGACCCTAGCGGCTTCACGGGCCAACCGTAGCTGCTCCAGTGTTTTCAACATGGGGTCAGGCACTGCCGAACTTTTCCGCGGGGGGCTCAGTCCCAACTGAATTTGCACAGGGGGTTCGGGCTCCCTCCCATACATCAAGTAAAATGGTGAGAAGCCTGTCGAAGCATAGGGAGCAAGTATCCCCGGGATATGCAGATCCCAATCCGACTGTCCCTCGGTCACTTGCTGGCATAGCATAGCGGTCAGGGTTCTATGCAACTGCTCAACCATCCCATCAGTCTGTGGATGATACGGTGAGGTGCATATTTGCGCATGCCCAAGGACTCACACACCTCCTGATCCGTGAGCAGTTGCTCCGGGGCTCCCTTATCCAGAACATAGCTGTTCACAAAGGTGTCGGCTATAGACGCAGCTGACTGGCCAGCCAAGGGCCAGGCCATAGGCCAACGAGTCAGATATGACCCCCATGAGGAGGTACTTGTGCCTCCTCCGGTAGACCGGGAAGGGACCCAAAATGTCCAGGGCAACCAATTCATTCACCCGTGACACAACAATAGACTGTAGCTGAATCTGTGGTCGCGTGGCAAAAGATTTCTGATGCACACAATCGACACAACTTTTAATCAGGAGGAGGACATCACTCTCCATTCCGGGCCAGTAAAAGTATTTTTCAATGTCGCCAACGTTTTTTGCACACCCAAATGCATTAACTTTTCGTGTATGGCCTTTGTAAGTTTGCCTCTAAGGACCCTGGGTATGATCAGGGCATATCGCTGGGACTCCCCCTCCCACTGCATGAGGAGTCCCTCCCGCAGCACGATGGAAGGGAGACCCGCAGGACCTGGGCCCCGAGAAACAAACCGGCGCAATGCCAACAACGAAGCATCATCAAACTGCAGCTTAGCCCACGTCTCGTGGTTGAGATTCAGAATAGAATCACATGGCGACTGAGCGCCTGCATACCGCGTTGTCCCTGCTGCAGTGAGCACCATGGGCGCCTTCCCTTGCGGGGGCTTACATCTCGATGCGCCTGAAGCACACGTGCATACGAAATGGGGCGGCAGCCGGGACAAGGCGTCAGCGTTGACGTGCCAGGTGCCCTTCCTGTGCACCACCGTGAACGAGAATCCCTGGAGGATCGAGCCATCGGGACAACTGGCCAGACGGCTGGTCGATGCGCAGGGAATACTGGAGGGCCGCATGGTCCGTGCGAACTACAAAGTTCCATCCGTACAAATAAGGACGATTGAGCTGAATAAAGTGGACCATGGCCAGTAGCTCCTTGCACGTGATGCAATAGCGCTGCTGGGCAGGAGACAGGACTCGACTGCCGTAAGCAACCACTCTCTCCGTTCCCTCGATAAGCTGGGAAAGGACCGCCCTGATGCCTGTGTCGCTGGCGGAGTCCAAAACGAAGGGTTTAGTGAAATTGGGGTACGCGAGCATGGGGCATCGGCAAGGGAAGAGCGGAGGGCGAGGAAGGAATCCTCTTCAACCCTATTCCACCGAAATCTCTGGCCCTTGGCGGTAAGGGCATGGAGTGGTTTAGCAATGGTGGCAAAATCTTTAATGAACCGCCGGTAGTAAGAAGCGAATTCAACGAAACTGCGGACGTCTGCTACCGATTTAGGCGCCTCCCACGTGCACACACACAAAGTCTCTTCTGGATCCGTGGCCACACTAACTACATGCCCCAAGTACCTAACCGACGTCTTAAGCAAGTGGCATTTCTGTGGCTTGAATTTGAATTTGGCCGCACGCACTCTCTAAGACCGAGTGCAATCGCTGAAAATGTTTGTCAAAGGTTTTTGCTAAAGACGATGACATCATCCAAATATGAGGCAAGAATCCTATTGCAACCTTGCTAGGACCAACTCCATTAGCCGCTGAAAAGGTGGCCGGCACTGAATTCAATCCCATTGGAAGGCAATTAAATTGATAAAGGCCTTGGGGCATATGAAAAGCGGTCTTTAGTTGACTCGTCATCGAGGGGAAATTGCCAACATCTGGACAATCGAGCGTCGAAAATAATTGCGTGCCCGACAATGCAGAGTGAGTCGTCCATATGAGGCAGAGGGTATACATCCGCCACATATATTTGATTTAATTTGCGAAAGTCAATGCAAAATCTCAAATTTCCATCATGCTTCTTTACTAGGACAATGGGCGCTCCCCATGGGCTGTTTGATGGAGCAATAATGTCTGCTGCTAGCATCTCGTCAACAGCCAGGTGCACCTGTTCCTTCTCCGCGGGGCAGAACCTATGCGAATTAATCCGAATTGTGGAGGAGGGAAGTGCGCCCAATATAAAATTTGCCAGTGCTAAAGACGTCAGAAAAATTGTTCAAAATCCGGCATAGTTGAGCTCGCTGCACTACCATAAGTGCAGGGTTCTCAGAGCATAGGGATTCCAACCACGTGGAATCTGGCTCCTCAGCATTACTGATGTTTCCAACAACCAATCGAGTTGGCCCCGCATCATCAAGACAATGGGCTTCTGAAGCGCGTGCCAGGACCGTACCCGCCGGAATCTCAACCGGCGCACGTCCCACTTTCAACACTTGCAGAAACGGTGTCTGCACGGCGGACACAACCGTCACAGCTCCCACTAACGAAGCGGACCGCGACAAAACCTTAGAAGGAGGCATCTGAGCGCGTCCGCGTCCGGCCCCAATGTGCTGGCCGCCACCACCGGCCGGTCGTTGAGGTCGAGGTGGCGGCCCTTGCCTACGTTCCCTCAGACCCACTCACTCGTCCAATCTGGGCAAGGGAATCAACCATCACCCGCTCGTCGACTCGTGAGGGTTGAGGTCCGTCCCTGGCTTGAGCGGCAGCGGTGAGATTTCTTCACCCTGGTCTCAGAACCCGAACTCCCGCTCCGCTCCCACACACTCCTTTATATCCTCCCAATTATCCAACTCCTCACTTGTGTCTCTTTAGGGCAGGGGTGGGGAACCTTTTTTCTCCCAAGGGCCATTTGGATATTTATAACATCATTCGCGGGCCCTACAAAATTATCAACTAAAAAATTAGCCTGTTATATTTGGTCAAATATTTTATTAACTCACCTCTAATGTGATGGCGGGAACTGCTTCTCTTTGGTGAGGTGTGTGATGTTAGCTGGTATTGATGATGTTGCTACTCGCAAGAGCTTTTCCAGGTTTGCTCTTAGATTTATGTAATTTTGACAGGGCCAGACCAAATGATTTCGCGGGCCTCATACGGCCCGCGGGCCAGACATTCTCCACCCCTGCTTTAGGGCCTGACAGGCGCCAGCCTGTCAGGCCATCAACCACTCCTTATCGCACGTCTCCAAGGCGACACCTCCAGTGCCAGCGTACGACCCCGGACCGACCCCGTCTGCAACCGAATCTCCCGTTAAAGAGGTGGCGGTTTGCACGTGCAACCTTACGTTGCACGTGCAACCTCACGTTGCACACGCGCACCTGCCTGACCCCGGATGCCCTCGGGTAGCAGTGCCACACTACACATTAATAGTGTATTTTATGCAGGCTACAACAAGGGATCTTTATTTACTGGGGAGGAGTGGTGCAGTGATTCACACTGCTATCTGGTTACATATTCGAACCACGGGAGCCGCATTCGTGGCAAGTGGAATCTGAATCTATCCTGGGACTCTGAGGTAAACTCGGGCTTACATGAAAACCTGACGGTGTGTTAATAGCAGCACTCCACCCTGCGTGGAGTGCTGCTCTCTCCACCACCCCCATGTGCCAAGATGGACTTAATAGGTGCTCGCTGACAGCACATCCTTTTCTTTGTGCAACATTAGTGGTACTCGATACACACAAGGACATGCTACGGCTAGGAAGATAACAGAACGCTGATTCACAGCGATTTCGGAGTCGCCTTTGTCCTTCACCTGATTGAACAAGATTACTGACGCGGCAGAGTAGCGCAGTGAACATACTCTCGCTTTACGGCAGTGAGAACCCGGAGTCGAGTCCCAACTCACGCACCCTTCTGTGTGGAGTTTGTACGTTCTCTCCCCCCCCCCCACTGTTCTGCAGTGTGCGTGTGTGAGCGAACGTGTGGCCACCCACCCCCTCGTGTGCCGTGCCAGCCTTCATAGGTACTGCTCGCTCACAGAACTTACCCCAAAAGTCTATTCAGGCTGTGCGAAGGATTTTTGTCTTTGCTTGTGAGCGAACGGTAGTGTAGTGGATAGCGTAATGCGCTACGAAACCAGCAACCCGAATTTGATTCCCATTCACAACTCGTGTTCGGCCTCACCTAAGTCGACTCAGCCTTAAATGAGTGCCTTATGCTGTGTAAACATTCGCACTGGGGGGGGACAAAGGCGACCAGGCGTGGTATTGACCACCCACCCCCTCACGTGCTGTTCCAGCCTCAGATGCTCGGTAGCAGCGCTCGCCCCAACAGTCTGTTAAAGGCTACAGCGGGATCTTTGTCTTTCTGTGTGAGGCTATGGAGACATGGGTGAGGTTCTGGATTTGACTCGTGCAACAGCAATGACTGCATTGCCTATGCCGTCCAGACCTTACCAGAGACCCTGGCTGATGGTGTTCTGACGAGCCGAGAGAAAGCGTCAGGCCCACTCCCACTGTCTAAAGCCATCCCACATCCAAGAGCGGAGGATGCTTACTGCAGCCTTTGCTCCAATGTTCAGAAAGCTGCGCAGCGCTGCGAGGATGAGTGATGGTCGTGGGTTGCTGAAAAAAATGGAAGCTCTCTCAGTATCACGCAAACAATCACAGATGACTCTTTAATTGCATTATTGTGAAGGGAAAAAATGGGGATCTTATCTCCAACCACCATGGAACAGGTTTGCAGATTTAGCTGAGTGTTTCTGTGAGGTCTTTGGCTAGGGGAAATCCCTCAGCTCAGATTACATCATGCAGCAGGATGGGATTGACCTTGCTAAGGTCTGTCGTGTCTCAAATATTGGAGGAAGTAGCCACTCCGGGAGAGCCTTGCTTCTCTGATCTGTGGAGAAAGTGCAAAGGGCAATCCAGAGCCTGAGACTTAGTGCAGTTAAAGGCAGCGATGACCTCTTATGCAAACTGTGGTGTTTGTGTGTCGACTGCCCTATCTTTATAACTGTCTGGTCAGAGCCATTTCCTATTGACATTGGGACGCGATGGGGATTCCTCTGGTTGCTACATTATTTATCTTCTTTGGGTACAAAGTTCGAAACGATTTTCATGGTTTTATAGGATCAATTTCCATAATGGTACATATGTAGTGTTCCAAACTCAAGACACTAGGTGGAGGTAATCTCTCTTTATTTCCGGCCTTCACAGCCTTCGGGGAAAACTCCATACCGGGTGGGGGGGGGGGGTCACATTCTCTCCCATACATCAAAAAAACCAGAGAGAACCCGGTAGAGGTATGAGGGGCCATCCTATAGGCTGCAAGAACTCCAGGAACATGTAGGTCCCAAAATCGGATTGTGCTTCGTTTGACTTGGCACAACATGGACATAAGTGTCCTGTGTAAACCCTCTACCATCCCGTCAGTTCGAAATTTCATCGTACCCAACAAATCACATACCTCTTGCAATAGTTTAAGAAAAATGCCGGCCCTGGTCCATAAGGAGACGTTCTGAGGCCCCCTTATCTAATACATCATCATGCAGGAACGTGTCTGTAATGGACACCGACTGATCCAGTAGGGGCCATGCCACCGGCCACCGTGACAGGTACTCCACCCCTACCAACAGGAATTTATTTCCCCTCCGAGTGGTTGGAAATGGCCCTAGGATGTCGAGGGTCACGAGCTCATTTACACGGGACACCCCAATGGACTGCAGCGGTGGTCAGGTCAGTCTCGGTAGGGGCTTCCTTGAGCATGTTGTGAACGTCCTCTGCCATTCCGGGCCAAAGAAAGTCCCGTTTCAACGTGGACAACGTTCTCTGCACCCCTAGGTGCATTTCACATGGGCAGCTCTCGTTACTCTACCCCTTAAAGCAGATTTTGGGTTTTGAACTTTAATCCAGGGGCAACTGCCAAAACCCTGACAATAGATCCAGGGTGGAGAAAAACCGCGCCTCGACAGGGCATCCAACGAATCGTCTATCCGTGGGAGCGAATACGCATCTCCCACGGAGACCTTATTCAATTTCCGAAAGTCCACACAGAACCGAAAACTCCAATTCTTTTTAACCAGGACAATGGGAGCACCCCACGGACTGGTTGACGGGGAGATATCAGCAGCCAACATATCGTCGACTGCCTGACGAACGTAGTCCTTTTCTTTCGGACTAAACCGAATTGAGTTCTGACGAATGGGAGCGGCGCTACCCGTATCAATATGGTGACGCATCAGGAACGTGCGGCCCACATCGAATATACTCGTACCAAATGCATCGGAGAAGTCCTAAAGCAATGCCCACAACTCACCCCTCTGCTCCCATGCACAACGGATCAATCCACGAGTCATCCAACACCGCTTTCCATTCAACCGCTGCGACTACCCGAGTGGCCACATCATCCGTATCCTCAACACGCAGCCGTCGCGTGGGCCAACACCGTACCAGGCTGTACGACTGCAGTATCTAGCTCAGCACTTAATACTTACAGGAAGGGCTCCTGATCCCCCTTTACTATCGTCTGAGCCCATGAACTGCTCTACTCCAAGGGGTTAAAAGAACCCCACCCCCAGTTATTTTCTGGTCGAGCCGCTTCTGCAGCCTCAAGGGTACAAGCATCTGTGCACTCGGGGGGGACCCTAACAGTTTCACGCACCAGGGCCCGAACCACAGCGTTAGCCATACACCACCCAGTAGGGACTCCAAAAACCTCAACCGATGCCCCGACGGCAACTCCACACAACCCTGGTCCACTAAAATCGAGAGGGGCATCCTCTTAAAAAAAATCCGTCCCCAATAAACAAGGCACCGCCAATGAACGTGAAACCAAGACCAGGCCCGTCCTTGCAATATTGCCAATCCGTATCGATGCCTTAATTTGGCCCACAATGCCTAAGCTCCCGCCATTAGTGGCAACCCACCGTCGACAGCAGAGTCCTAAAAATAAACTCAAAACCATGGTGGTGGATGCCCCCGTATCTAAGAGCATCCGCACCTCAATACACTGCACAAATCCACCTACTATGGATGATCCCGCTCCCGCTGCCATGACAGGGTGCGCCAGTGCGGTCCATTGCCCGGACCCCTGCGGCCAACCATCACGCACCGAAGCACCACCTTAGTTCCCCGTATCCCTATGAGGGGTGATGGCGTGTGTACCCGACACTGACTGCAATGCGGAGGCATGAGGTGGCTGTGTCGGCCGGGTATGTGACATATCACAACCTGCCTTTGGACGCAGAGTGGACGCCGGCAGGGCAGAGGACCGTGAAGGTGGGAAAAACTGCCCCAAATCAGCATAGCAGCCCCTGGAGATGTGGCCTGAGAGGCCACACCTGTAGCAGGTAACGGGGCCCCGCCCCAGCGGAGGCAAGGTTCTCCTCCGCTGGTCCCATCGTCATCCCGGTCCGCATACTGCGTGTGGGCGTATACGTTAATTAGCCGTACTGTAGTGCCATCGTATGTGGCGTCGACATATTGCAGACAGCCAGGGACCACTTCCTGAGCCTCCTGTACCTCAGCCCTTCTACGTCCTAGGAGGATGGCTACCCCAGTGCACTTAGCGTTGGTACGTCTTCGTAGCATTCTCGCTCAGCCTGGCAGAGACCACCTCCCTTTGCACCGGTACCTCTGTTCCCCTTGGCAGCTGCCTCCAGGCATCCCCCGCAGCCTGCCGCCTCTCAGTCGAGGTTGCCGCCTGAGCTGCATCGCCCTCTTTCAATGACCTCCGTCCTCCAAGTAGTTGAGTCGCGGCCATTTCCACCTCAGCAGCTGTCGACGGGGCTTGGTCGTCCTCGCTCATCATGGCAGCTCAGCAGGTCTTCATGCCCACTGGAAAATGGCAAGGCAGACACTGACCCGACAGCCAGGGTGCCTGCCTCTCCACGCAGAGCCTTGGCGAAGGCTGAAGAGACAGATTCGCGGCCCCTGCAAAATAGACGTCTGCAGCAGCATCGACGACCCCTTCTCTCTCCTACACTGTCCACACCTGCTCAAGACAAGGAAGAAAGTCGAGAACCACAGTAACAGCAGCAGCAACCGCAATCCGTACAGGGGGCGTTTCCGCGATACCGGGATCCCATACCACACCCCCACACACCGAGTGTGCCGCTAATGAAAAAAGGAGGAATCTTGCTCTCTCATCCACCACATTGAGGCAAAAGACAATGTTCACCGGAAATAAAACTCTCAATTTCCGGTGCTGCGGTGGAAAAACTTTCCCAAGTACCGTTTATTCCATCCCATGCCCTATGGAGGCGGAGGCCACCGCCACTTCTCATTTGCAGCTTTGCTGCCCATTCTTATCCCGTCAGCCTCCACCACTCGGCCGACCAGCCACCTGGCTAGGTGGTACACCTCGTATGGCGACATGTGGGCACCCTTGATCATCCGCCCACGCGCCTTCCACAGGGCTTCCTTTATTGCCCCCACTACGGCCCACGCCTGAGTCCAAGCCCCTCCTGCTTTTCGTCGGAAAAGTGCCCATATAATATTTGGCACTACAGCTTTGACTGGAAAAAACGGGCTAGCCAAGGTTGGCTTAGCTCCCACACCTCCTGAGCAATGGGACAATCCAGGAAAACATGGCACGTGTCTTCATCTGAATCGCATCCCCTCGGGCACTTGGGGGTGCGGGCCATATGGTGGGAATACATAAATTGTCTGCATGTCAACCTGTTCCAGGCCGCCAGCCAAGATATGTCTGTCTCTGTTAGGGCTCCAGACGTCACATTTTCCCATATTTGTTGGTGTGTGGTACGTCGTGCACCTGGTACCTCTGCACAGGCTTCCCGCTTTCCAATAACACCTCGTGGGTGCCACGACTCTCTTACCAAGGCCGGCTCGTATTCTGTAATGTATTTGTTAACTGCAGTACACAGCCACCCGTGCGTCTAGGCGAGGGGCCTGCAAGTGAGGCAATGGAGCCATCCCTAGTCTGCGCAGGAGCCACGCCAACCTATATTGCAAAAAATATGAGGCCTTTGTCTGAGACCCATTTAAAAAAAACAAGCGTAGCGTATTGCAAACAGAAATCTTATTGAAATTACGCGCGACGTCAGGGGCTCCCCTCTCACCATTCACAGAGCCTTTGCACAGTCTCCCTCTTTACCCGGTCCATCCTTCCTCCCCAGATAAACTTGAAAAACAGTGTCCCCAACTTGTGTATCATTCGCGCGCCTGGCGGAAAGATATACGCCAGATAATTCAGTGCAGGTAGTATTTCCGCCTTCAAAACCAAAATTCTCCTTTCCATAGTAGGGCGTTTGGCTGTCCACCTGGCCAGCCTGCCCATCTTTAATCTTTTCTTTCCAGTTCTTTATTTGTCGATCCTTCCCGGTAGGTGACGCCCAGGACTTAAATCCCTTCTGTCTGTATTCTTAGCTCTTTTGGGCGTCCTTCGAAAAGCCTGGGGTCCCCGAAGAGCATCATCGCGCTCTTACTTAAGTTAACCCTGGAACCCGAGGCCAGATAAAAAATCATTGAAAGCTCCAGCACCTCCCACACCGAGGATACCTCTGCAAAAATACCATGATGTCGTCCATGTACATGGCTATTTTTGCCTGGTCGCTGCACCCCAGGATATGGAGCCCTCGGATCCTCTGGTTAGCTCTGATCACCTGGGCGAAGGGCTCCATGCATATGACAAACAAAACCGGTGACATGGGGCATCCTCGTCTCACCCCCGACCTAACTGGGACTACCTCCGAAAGGGTCCCGTTTATCAAGTCTGCTCGAGAGCCCATGGTATAGTTTCCTTACCCACCCTACTAAAAGTTCACCTACCCCCATGTGTCAGCACTGAAAACAAATAGTCATGTGAAATGCGATGGAATGCTTTCGCCTGGTCTTCTCTATCATGGATTCTATGACATCTCAGCAGGATAAGATTATCTGACATGTGTCTGCCCGGGACCGCACATGTCTGGTCTGTTTGTATTATCTCCACTACCACTTTCCCTAAACGTGCTGCGATGGATTTCGCTAAGATCTTGTAGTCAGTGTTCAACAGCGTAATTGGGTGCCAGCTCCCAAGGTCGCTGCGGGCCCTCTTCCCCTTATTTAGGGATATTACCCCCTTCCCCCATGGACCCTCTTCCAAGATCTCTATACAAATGCAGCAAGTCGTGCTTGGTGTCCCAGGATCTGTCATAAAACTCAGCCGGTATTCGATCCTGCCCTGATGCCCTGTGCCGATGTAGTCCTCACTGCCTCGCCCAGCTCCTCAAACTGAATTTGTTTGTTCATTTCCTCAAGAGCCTTTATTTTCTGCTTAACCTCCCTAAGGAAGATGTCTCGGGCGCCCGCCTCTGACGTCTTACTTCCATACAGTTCTGCGTAATATTCCCGCGCAGCCTCAACTATACCCTCTGTCTGCGTCAGTCTGCCCAGGTTCGGGCTGACCAGCTCTTGGATTGTGCTTTCAGCCTTCCTGCACTCTTAAAAAATAACACGTGCACTTTTTCCCCTCTTCCACTGCCCTAACCCGTGTCCTAAAGACGAGCTGCGCAGCCCGCTTATCCAGCAACAAGGAGATTGTTCTTCAGCCACCTTATCTTGTTCATCACCGGGAAACCTAACTCCAGCAACCTATACACTTTCTTTAACTGATCGTTCAAACCCCTCATTCCTGACACTTCCGTTTACTGTGTGCCTGAAAAGAACCCTTGATCCGGTTCTTAATAATTTCCCACCACTCTGCCATTCTTCATATAATTTGATAAAAGTTTTCGTCACCGTTTCATCGGCTAAAAGACTCGTGTTCATCCTCCATATCCCTTTCCCCAACCTCAGTCCACCTGGAATTCAGTACCTCGAAGCAATCAGCTTGTGGTCCGAAAAAAGAAAAAAAATGTTCAATTTCCACATACTCTGCTTTATTTTAGCGGAGACAAAAATAAAATCTATTCTTGAATGTAAAGAACCCAAACTATTAGTCCAAGTCAAACCTGGGTGTGTTGGGTGCATCAACCGAAAAGTGTCAATTAAGTCAAAGTCCTTAAGCAAGCCACCGAGTTCCCTGGAAGAGGGGTCAATTCTCCGACACCCGGATGCAGGCAGCACGTCCAATAGGCCGAATGGGCAGTTAAAGTCACCCCCCAAGATGACGTGCCTCCGCGTAACCAACAGGGCTGCTATGTTAGCCCACAGTTCCAGTCGCTCAGTATATCGTGTGGGGGCATAAACATTGAGACGAAAAGCCATTCCATCAGATGTGGTGTCCACATATTGGAGACAGCCAGGGACCACTTCCTGGGTCTCCTGTACCACGACGCTTTTACGTCCCAGGAGGATGACTACCCCAGTGTTTTTATTGATGTTACTCCCTGACTAGAAGCAGTGCCCGTCCCAGGACTTAAAACAGCTTTGCCCAGGCGAGAGAGTATGGCAGGTGGTACTCCAGCTAGAAGTAAATGTCTTTCTTTAAGGTTCGCAAATGCTCCATTACTCCTCGCCTGGCCGCACCCCAGGATCCCCCTCACATTGACCGACGCAATGGAGAGCTCCAGCAATGCATAACCAGTTCCTGTCGACCAGGTCCAGGAGGCTTTCTGCACTCCTGGGTTTCGGGGAAAACACCCTCCCTTGGCACATCTTTGCTGTTTTTGTTCACTCTTCAGATGTCAACAGGTCTCTTGAAGAATGACGACTGTGGTACATGCAAGGGGACCGTCTTGAGGGGGTGCCCGGTGCCCTCCGCTTCCTCTTTGTTGTACTCTCAGACGACTCCCTCTTGGTCGCCTTTCTTCCGTTACGCCACCTCGTCCTTTCTCGCCTCCACCTCTTCCGCCCAACCGACCATGGATGGTTCAGGGGCCGCCTCCTCCATCTCCTTGGCTTCAGGGTCGTCTCTTCGCCGGCTTTCGGTTGTTTCCCGATCCTCGGACGACGCCTCTCCCTCCTCCTTCTCATCCTGTGGTGGTGTTCTCGGTCCTGTCTTCTCTCCACTAACGCCACCAGTTGCCCGGTTGCTTGGTGCGTGCTCAGACCCGACCTCAGTCGTCCCTGTCCTCTCCTTCAGCCGTCTGGATCTTGTGTGCCCAGACCATATTAGCGTATGATTCCGGGCAATTCCGATATAGACAGAGCTCACTTTCGCACAGATTACATTGCGCAGGGACTCTGCACTCTTCCACTACGTGGTCCAGTGCTATGCAGCGGTAGCACATTCGCACCTCACTTGCCGCTGCCAGGTGGCCTCTTCCCCCGCACCTCCTGCATAGTTTGGGTTGTCCTTCGTACACGACGTAGCCCCTACTACCGCCAATATTAAGGGCACTCAGGATATGTTGCAGGGCCCCGTCCGCGGCTCTAAACCTCACTTGCCACTGCCTGGCACCTGTCCGGTAGTGCCTCATTATACTGGAAAAACAGTCACCATTTTCGTGTTCAGCTCTGATAATAGGTGCAGCTTAAGTAGCGATAGAGGCCTCTCGCCTGCCTTTTCCTCAAAAAGAGTCAGAAAACGCTGCAATAAGTTGCTTGTCTTAAAGCTAATGTCGAAAGCCCTGCCGCCCCGCAAGGCTATTAAACAAAACAGGTCCATTGCCTCAACTTCTAGCGACCCTACCACCACTCTCCGCACAAAACTCGGGCAGTCCATGGTCACTTCCTCTGGCACATCATCTTTAAAGGCCACTCAGACGCAGTTGTGTCTCCTGGCGTGGACCGGTGTAAAACTCACCCCCAGTCCACGTGTTCCTGGTGTCGTCCTGCCCCTATTGGTCCAGCATCTGCCTTGATGGTCTCGCCACAATTGCCTTGCGCCTGCTGGCCAGCAAAGGCCCCAATTTCCGAAGCATCCTCGCTCAATCTGGCAGAGACCACCTCCC